ATACTTACACATAGTTTTTTCAGGTTGTTGTACTAATTTGCACTTTCAACAGTCTATCTGGGGGCTGCAGTTGCTTTGCTAACATGCGATAGTGTCAGTCTTTAATGCTTGCTATTCTGGTAACTGTGCATTCTTATCTCATTGCAGTTTTAAATCTAATTTCCCTGATGTGTAATACACATCATTCTATGTTGATTTTTAAAAATAATGTCATAATACCCAAGCAGTTATTTATGTTAAGAAAAGACTATTTATAGTAATGCATAATTTTAAATCAAATATTGCATGTAGTATTGATCTAATATTTAAATACTCTTGACCAAGCCAAAGACAAGCAATAAGTCACCTAGCCTGCTTAATTTGCTATCATTCATTTCCACTTCCAAAGTGATTTCAGTGGGGCTAGCGATTTGGAACATTCTCTCCTACTTCCTGGCTTCACGCAAGTAACCAATCTTGACTTGAGTGTTCACTCCTCATCCTAAAGAGTATTTACATCTTCCTTGGTGCAAAGGGCTGTATCCAAGCAATAGGAACCATGCCCCAGGGACGTGGCTGCAGGTGATACTTGGTTTGGTCTCACTGTCTGAGCAGTAAAAGTAGATGGGAATTATGGTCAGTCTATGGAACTTGTGGGTGCCACCTTACTTGAAGAGCGATTAAGATGATGATGACAACACTGACTAGAAAATGTTCTGGCCCCAAAGTGGAGCCTTGGTTATCTTTTAAGTTCTGCCACCTGGAATCCCTGAATGCTCTTCATGTCAGTGGTATGGGGCAATGGCCATTGTCTCCCTAAAGATTCATTGATAAATCACTGGCCTGAGACAGATGGATGGATTGGAGAAAGGACATACAGATTTTATTTAATGTGTATACAAGAGGGTCTCTGAATGAAGACCCGACATCCCAGTGAGTTATAGAAACTTAAATGCCATCTTGGGGTTACAGAAAGAAGGGGGCTTGCATGCTGGTAAGGCAGATTATAGGAGGGAGAAGAAGAGGAATTCTACTGAGTAGCAACAAATAATAGGAAGAATGAATTGGTGGGGAGACAGAGAATGACCTGCACATAGTTCTTTTTGCACATAGAATGACCTGCATGAATGTGAGAGACAGGCATTGTTTTAGGACAGATTGGGTCAGGCTTGATGACATCATTCTCCCTTCTCTTTCCTGCAATAGCTAATCTTAACAGGAAGTAGAAGCAGCTCGGGAGAGACTTTGTGGCAAAATGCCACATTTTGGGATGCATTTCCCTGCAGTCCTTCATTGGCTCTGGGCCTCAGGTTTCATCTGTCGTGGCTCTCCATTTCCCTTTGCAGATTGAAAGGTGTTGACTCAGCATTCTGCCAGGTGCGGAAGGGAGTCTCCACTTATTTCAGCAGCTGTGGACTTCCTGGAAGTCAGGGTTAGGCTAAACAGACAGTTAGACCTGAGCAGGCAAACAGAAGCCTCCAGAGGGGCACCCATGAAGGAAAGAACGACTCAGCAGATGCCCCCAAGTCATTCACTCTAGGACCACAGATGTCAGCCTGTAGCTGGTAACTTCCATGGGTCTGGGCAGGCACCCTAAGTACCAACGAACCTGCTACATGACCTTCCTGGAGTGGCAGTAATGAACAACGCTGCCTTTAGGAAGGATTTGTATTGCTCACAGGGGCCCATGCAGGTACAGAAGTCCTTGGTCATATAACATCCCCAACCCTAGGTGAAGACTATGCAAAATCTGGAGGCTATCAGGAAGGGAGGGAGGGAGGTGGGAGGGAAGGAAGGAAGGAAGGAAGGAAGGAAGGAAGGAAGGAAGGAAGGAAGGAAGGAAGGAAGGAAGGAAGGAAGGAATAGATGTAGGAAATACTTTTAAAGCTCAGCACAGAGCCCTTGGGGCTGTTCCAGAATCCGTGCTGCCTTCTTAACTTGCTTTCATCAAGATTTTATGAACATGAATATTGGCCCAGTGAGACATATACAAGTAGTTATTGCAGTCTTGTCTGTAGAGGCAAAAGTGCAAATAACTTAATGTCAATCAATAGGAGAATGGTAAGGAAACAGAGACATGGGTCGAGGATGGAAGAGTGTGCAACAGTTAAGAAGAATGAGGCAGATGAGTGGGCAACGTTATGGAAAGATACACAAGACATAGCACGCTTTTAAAAAGCAGGAACTTAGGTACATAGTGTGATGCCATTTATCACAAAACAAAACCTACAACTCAAAGCCAAGTATTTTTTTAATGAATACTCAAAAATTTAATAAACATTTGTTTAAGTATAAAGTTGGTAAAACAAATTTCTTATTTTATTGGGGTCCTCTTTAAAGTCAAGTATTTTCTACATATAGATATATGAGGGGGGACCCCCCAAAACCCTGTAATTTATTTATAAAAGTCATGTATTTATTTTTACATGTTTAAGCTTCAGTCACCTTCAGAGTACTCTCCGTTTGATGCAACATACTTATCAAGGTGCTTTTTCCAGTGCTCAAAACAGTTTTGAACTCGTCAATTTTGATACCTTTTAGTGCTTCCTTCTTTTTTTTTTTATTGTTTCACCTCTTCCATATTGGCAAAACGTTTCTCTTGGATGACTTTTTTCCTTGGAGAAGCAAAAAAATAAAGTCACCTGGGGTGAGATGGGGTGAATAGGAAGGGTGGGGCAGGGGGGTCATGCCATTTTTGGTCAAAAACTGCTGAACACGCAGTGCAGTTGGGCAGGTTGTTCATGTTAATCACCCATCATGAAATGGACGTAAGTGTTGAAAAAATCTAAATAATAATAATAATTCATCGAAATCAAACATGGCTTCTCACAACACTAGCTGGTACACTGATGCTGATGGGTTCTTAGAACACTTATCTAGCAGGGGAAGCCTGTATTACAAGGGGCCTGGCCTCCACGATATAATCCCATGGGGGGGGTCCTTCTTCATATGTAAGTTAATACGTAGGGATAGACATATACCAGACTGATAACTATGGAATTTCTCTAGATAAAAGTGGGACTGAAGAGAGGATGGTTGGGGAGATCTGTATAGCTTGAATTTTCTTTCCCAATGAAAATGTATATATGCAGGCGTGTATTAGTACTAAGACAGCACTGATACATAATATACATATTCTAGGAGAATGCATAGAGTGTCTTTCTATCTTGCATCATGATAGTCTCATCCACCTCAATGTGGATCCAAGGCTTTGACAGGTGACATTTTAGAAATTTTAACTTCAGTTTGCAGGCAAGCCCTTATTGTTCAGAATATATCTTTATGCATATTTGGGACCTGTAAAAACCTTTGTCCTCAAAAGTTTTCAATGTTAAATGTATATTAATACTTAAATATTTTTTACCTATCAGAAGGAATCAGTTGAGAAGGCAAGAATTATTTAACCATGACAGGACATGCACATATCTACGGGTGGTAAGACTGGAGCTTGACACAAACTCTTTGAAGGGCATTTATGATCTATTGGAATTGTAAACAACAATCCCCTTCACCTAACATGGCCACTGGCCACTGCTGGGAATTTATCCTACGTGAGTTCACAGAAAAACACATTTAAAAACATTCTTCATGGCATTGTTTGTAAGACCAAAAGTCTATAACCTTCCTAAATAGTCATAAATTGGGTTAAGGTCTTGAATAATCAGTAGCAGTACAACGGATAAATGGGAGTGCATTTGAGGTGGTATCCTTTAGGCTTAGAGACCTCTGTGGTTCGATAGGGAAGAGGCAATGATGACCCAAGTCTGACCTGGAGAAGAGGGTGATAATGAAGACATTAACTGAGCATATGGTGCGTGTACAATGACCTGGAAGGAGACATCTAGTCACTATAATTAGTTCTAGTGCTTGTGCGTGGAGAATGTGAATCGGTTGGAAGAAACAGGGCTGAGAGTGAGGGTGGTTGTCAAGGAGAAGGAAATAAGGAGAAACAAGGATTAAAAAGGAGGGAAAATAGTGAATATTAAAAACTCTAAAATAAAAAAGTTGGTCAGCCATACATGTGTTACACACAAGAATTCTGAGACTTGAGAAATTATGTAAATGATGTGATATAATCATGGTGTCATTAAAGCTACATAGTTTTAGTTTGAGGATTTGAACTCAGTCCCGTCTTATTGCAAGGCAACGTTCACAAAGCCAAAATGCCTCTGCCGTCATAATGTGTGATTAGCAAGAAGAGAGCTAATGTGATGAGCCAATTTAGCAAAATGTCATGAAAAGTCAGAAATGTCACATATCAAATTGTGTCAAGTCCCCGGAAAAACAGGCCATCTGTAAAATAGGAATTAATATTAAATATTATATATTTTGTATATTTATATTACATATCTGTAAGTATAGATGTTCATGTATCAGCCAGCAGCCAGATAAAAGTCATCTTTTCTAATCCTCATCAAATCCTCCAAAATGGGTCACTTTTATCCCCACTTTGCAATAACAAAATGGAAACTCAGAGACTGAATAGCTGACTTTAGGCCACAGAGTTGGTACGCAAGAGAGCTCACATCGAGAGAGCTGGCATAGAAACTCGTACCTAGAAACTCTTCAGAATGTTTTTCCATGGGCCACATTGTTTCCATCTAGGGATGATACCACCTACCTATCTTAAAGGTTGCTTTGAATTTCACCTGGAGAATTCACAGGGCCCAAATGCCTGAAGATTCTGTGTAAGTCCATGGATCACATTCTGAGAAATGTTGTTTCATGTGTTTTGAGAATAATAAGCCATGGCAGCCCTATATAAATGTGATCATCGTTATTACTGTTTATTGCCACATGACTTTTCGTGGAATGGACAGGTTAATTTTAATTTCTAAGAACCTGAATAAACATGTGTGTGTGTGTGTGTGTGTGTGTGTGTGTGTTACTGCATTCCTGGGTGTGGATGGCTTCAGGCTTTCTCCTCAGTCACTGCAGGCTTGGGCATGCTATCTGGATAGTGTCCTTACCCACACAGCTGGACCACATCATTACAGACTTGCTGTTTTCTCATTTCCTAGGAGTCAACAATAAGCGGCTTGGTGTGTGTGGCTGGATTCTGTTTTCCCTTTCTTGTCTGTTGATGATCATTACGTTCCCCATCTCCATCTGGATGTGCTTAAAGGTAATACTCTGGGAAATAACTTGGGCTCTCCATGTGCGCGGGCAAGCCATCAAGACTAAATGTTCTCCCTTAATCTCTTAGATCATTAAGGAGTATGAACGCGCTGTCGTATTCCGTCTGGGACGCATCCAAGCTGACAAAGCCAACGGGCCAGGTATGATACTGTGGCTGCCCCCGACAAAGATTGGGGCACTTATTACAGCTGCCACCACCTCCAATTTTTTTCCTGGTGGCACCTACTGAGAGTCACATTTTTTAAAAAATCGCCGGAAGCTGAAGCTCTTGCCTCTCTGTACAGTAAAAGAATGTTGCCCTATTGTACAAGTCAGTGGGAGTGATCACCAGTTCAAGAGTTTGGAAATCTGGCCTTGTTTCCTAAATCTCCCTCGAAGAAGTTCGGTGAATGTGAGCCAAGGGTGGCTTTGGTTATGTCGGCTGAATGTCACTTATTATCAGGGCCCCTAGGAGCGTGTGGGAAGAATGATGGGAGGGTTAAGTGGTCAGTGTATACCAGGAAGCTACTCAGGGAGAGTATTCAAAGAGCTGGGTTTTTGATTCTTACTCTTTGAAAAGGGCTAATGGGAAAACAAAGGGTAATTTCCTCTGGTGACAAGTAGATTAATAGAAAGGTAGAGCCGGAAGCCATTGTATAACTCCTTTAGTCAGATCCTTTGGTTTTGAAAATAAAGAATCTGAGGCCAACACAGGTTTGATGATTTACCTAAGATTGACCTTGTAGTTGGAGGTAAAGATGAGTGTTCAGACTTCCTTTTTTCTTTTTTTTGAGTTGGAGCCTTACTCTGTCACCCAGGCTGGAGGGCAGTGGCACACACCCGGCCACCGCAGCCTCAACCTGCTGGGCTCCTGTGATCCTTCCTCCTCAGCCGTCCAAGTAGCCGGAACTACAGGCACGTGCTACCACGCCCGACTAATATTTGATTTATTGTAGAGATGAGGTCTCGCCAAGTTTCCCAGGTGGGTCTTGAACCCATGGGCTCAGGCGGTCCTCTCACCTCGGCCTCCCGAAGTGCTGGAATGACAGGCTGAGCCACCAAGCCCGGTCAACTTTCATACTTTCTAACACCTAATATGGTATTTGTTTCCATACTTTCTCTACAACCTTGTTAACAAAAATGTTCCAAACTGGCCATATTATAAAAGGATTTTTTTTTCTTTTTGGTCAGAGGTGGGGATGAGGGTTGGGGTGTCAGGTACTAAAACTCCCTAGAAGTAAGGCACTGACTTAATACTTATAACTTCTCTTAGTATATATTTGGTTGAACCATATACAATTGCTAATATTTATTTTGACTCATAAAAATAGTGATTTCTTATGGTGAATGCTAATATTCTTAAAAGCAGGGGCTCTCAAAAACAGCATCTTCAAAGACACATGAAACACAATGGTTATTAGCTATATTTCTCTGGAAACACTTGCTTTCTGCCCCCATGAGAGTTTAATGGAATAAATCATTCTCTTTTCAACGGGAAGATCTCTGGGGCAGGAACTTCCTTATGCATGGTGCTGCTGTGAGCTTTGCATTTGGTCATAAACCATGATGGGCTCTCAGGTATCTGTTATATTTAAAAATATGGAAAACTTCAAGAGGAGAAGTTTGTGAAGGAGGCTTGGCCATTTTAAGTGTAATCTTGCTTTAATTTCATAAAAGACTTAAGAAAAAGAGAGCAAGAACTACATATTATGGATGAGTTTACCAAAACAAGAGTATTAGAATCGTCCAACAAAGGTATAACCGAACAAGGCTAGCCCCTCCCCAACCATCTTCTGCCTGGTGGGGATGGGATTATAAATGAAAATAAAATTGGATCCAAGAGAAGCAGAATAACCATAACGTGGAGGGCTCTAGGGAAAAATAGATCGCTTTTAAATGAATTTTCCCAGAAGGTTTCACTGCTAAATGTCCCAGGATAACAACTCTCGTCATAAATGTCTCTGGGATTAATGAGTTACCTCAGAATGTTGTAAGAACTAGAGGGAAACTGGTCAAATTACTCATGGAAAACCTCTCCACTTGCAGATTGTAAATTATTCTCTGGCTACAAAAGTATTAATAATGAGAGCTGCCACTTCTTGAGCACTAATTTACACCTGGCATGGTGCTTAGTCCTTTATTTCACTGTCATGTTGAATCATGCTTGATCTTCATAACCATCTTGTAAATATATTAAGTAACCAAAGCTCAGAAAAGTTAGGTAACTGTTCCCTGGTCCCTAGTCCACTAAGTAGGGCTGGAACTTAACTCTCTTCGAAACTCTAAGTTCTAAGGATCATGATCTTAATCACAGTGACTGGGCACAAAAAAACAAAATAAAATAAAATAAAACAACAGCAAAAAAGCATTTTAATAGCATGTTCTCTTAATGCCACCAGTCTTTTACATGATGTTTAACCCTCAAACTTGTTTCTGCTTTAAAAGAAAAAGTAACACAAAACCTTTTTGATCAATGGAAATGGGTGTCCTTATCTTGTTGACATGCCTTGCGGTTCTAATCTTTGTGACTCTTGCAGTAAAGAAAGAAACTTCACCAGGCAAAGGTTAAGAATTCATTCACAGGGCTCTCAAATGAATCTTCTTTTGCCCATCCTTTCCCGACCAAGCCCCATCCCAAAACTTCATAACTCGGAGAGGGAAACATGTTTACAGCTGGGGAATGCCATGGTACTTGACCTAGAAGCAGCGATGGAGAAACTCTTAGTTCTGCAATACGTTGTTGGTTTTGGGGAATCTGAGACCCTAGAAAGATCTGAATTCAATATTCCTTCAGTACTATTGAAGACGGCCAGGAATGTTGGCAGTCTGTTACTTGAATTTTTTATATAGATGCCTTTATTATAAGGAAAGCAATTCCCAAAATATCCTTTTTGATTAATGTCAAATTAAACACTTGGATGGCACTAGATTGTTTTAAAAAATAAAATCCACAAATTAAACATCAAGAATCTTTAGCTTCTTATCAAAATACTTTAATTCCTAGACAACCACTTTTCTTTTCTTTTTCTTTTTTCTTTCCTTCCTCATTCTGTCGCCCAGACTGGAGTGCAGTGGCACAATCATGGCCACTGCAGCCTCAACCTGCTGAGCTCAGGTGATCCTTCCGCCTGAGCCTTCCAAGTAGCTGGAACCACAAGCATGCATCACCACCACACCCGGCTAATTTTTTAATTATTGTAGCAACGAGATTTCGCCATGTTGCTCAGGCTGGTCTTCAACCCCCGAGCTCAGGCAATCCTCTCACCTCCGCCTCCCAAAGTGCTGGGCTTACAGGCGTGAGCCACTGCATCTGACTGACAATCACTTTTTTTAAGTCAAGAAATCATTTTCCCCAAAAGTTATATGTATTCACATTGAAGATCATCTGAGAAACATATGAAAACGCTGTACCATATAGCTAGGAGACTATTTGTTGTCGTTATTTTCAATAGGGTTAAATTTTAAACTGATTTTCTTTTTCATAGGCTTAATCCTTGTCCTGCCCTGCATAGATGTGTTTGTCAAAGTTGACCTCCGAACGGTTACTTGCAACATTCCTCCACAAGAGGTAACACTACTAGAAATCAAGCCTGTATTGCTCCTATGACACAGACCATTGGACTTGTATAGTAAATATTTAAGTTAGAAGGAGGAGAATGAACTGTATACCCCCAGAAACTCTCTTGAGTTGCCCTCGGGGGTTCCTTAATGACCTAGCTATTGTTTTGCCGAATGAGAATGATTCTAGAAGACTTGGAGTGACTTTGCCAGAGAAAGCCTGAGAAAAGAGGTTCAGTGGGCAGGGAAGCTGGGATGGAAAATGACAGAGTAAGACTTGGAAGAGGCGGTAGACACTGTACAAAGCCGCTGAACTGAATCTGACAGAGGGCAGACAGACGACAGTAGTTGGTTGTAGTAACACCCTCTCTGCCACCTTCTCAGAGGACTTTTAGTAATATCTCCATAACTCACATTCGCTTTTGACTTTAAAATGTTTTTGTGTTGAATGTAATGGAGTGGAGCAGGTACAAGGACAGAGCAGAGGACGCACAGGACCCACCTGTATTTGGATTTTATTTTGTTCATTTTTGAGCGAGGTCTCGTTCTGTCACCCAGGCTGGAGTATCATGGCACAATCACAGCTCACCATAGTCTCAACCCCCTGGACTCAGATGATCCTTCTGCCTCAGTCTTCCAAGTAGCTGGAACTACAGGTGTGCACCACCACAACCAGCTAATTTTTAAATTTTTCTGTAGAGATGAGGTCTTGCTATGTTGCCCAGACTGGTCTCGAACTCCTGGGTTCAAGCAATCCTCCCACCCTGGCCTCCTAAAGTGTTGGGATTACAGGTGTGAGCCACTGCACCTGGCCATGTGTTTGGATATTAAATAGTGCTTTTTTATTATTGGAGTACTCAAATAACGGACTCAAACAGTCACTGGGCAATAGGGAAGAGGAACAGAGTTACTGATCATTGTCGCATCCTCTTTCAACCAAAGTGGTCCAGGAAGAGGAAAGGAAATGTGAGTAGGACCTAGGACAGGGGATGGCAGAGGGGGTGAGAAGGCAGAGCCCCAGCAGTTGTGAATACAGGTTAATTTTCTTCTCTCTGGCTCAGGAACTCAAGACCCAACAGCAATATCTCCACGTCACTGTTGCAACTTCAGCGAATTTACTTGAGAATTCAATTCCAGTCATAGGAGAGCTTGGACTGCTTAGTGACCTCGAGTGGGGTTTTCTGACCCCGTAATAGACGTTCTAGGTTCTGCTCCTATAGTACACCTAGAAATCTCTCATTTTCTTCCAAACACTTTGTTACATTTGGAACAATTGATGCTGAGGCTCTCTAAAGCCAAACTATGTTTTCTTTACTTGAATGTGGAACATGGTCTCTGGTGCCATCTAGGTTTTCTTAGAAGCACTGCTGTGTCAAGTCTGATTTAAAAAAAAAAAAAAAGAATACAGGGATCAGGGAAACACGTCTCTGTCTGCATAGAAAATAGAAGATAGTAGAATGCCAGAGGGGCTCAACTGATGCATTTTAAAATGGAAGTATGGGGAACCAAGGACTTCTTCCTGCGGGATGTAAGACTTCTCTAAGGTGAAGTTACAGGGGTAGGTTTGGCCACACCTGTGGAGGAATTTCGTATCAGCTAGGAAGATACTCTACTCAAGCCAGGGCAGGTCTTAGGTGACCTCGGCATGCATTGTCATTGCTGATGTCCTCCTGTGGAGGAGGGCTCTTGGGATGGCTGTCACTTTGCCAATAGGTGGGAAGTCATGAGCGTGAGTTTTCCTGTTCTTGCTCTACAGATCCTCACCAGAGACTCTGTGACCACTCAGGTAGATGGCGTCGTCTATTACAGAATCTACAGTGCTGTCTCAGCAGTGGCTAATGTCAACGACGTCCATCAAGCCACATTTCTGCTGGCTCAGACCACTCTGAGAAATGTTTTAGGGACACAGACCTTGTCCCAGATCTTGGCTGGACGTGAAGAGATCGCCTGTAGTATCCAGGTAAAGGCACCAGGAACTAAGAATAGCCTGTGTCTTTCATTCGTTTTAATTAGCAGTTGTTATCAAATATCAGCAGGTCAAAGCACCCCCTATATGCATGTTTGCACACATTCACACATGCAGACAACTGCCCTCAGAGCCGAGCAACCATGTGTGAACACCATGAGAAATAGATTTAAATATCTGGGTGGGAGAAGGGAGCTGCTAAAATTCTGCCCCTTACTCATTTTCTATGGACCTCAACATTATGAATTAACATCTCACACGTTAACCTTTTCTGTAGAGGTGGGAGTTAAGTTTTATTTGGAGTTCAGATTACTCCAAAAGTTAGCATTTCTCAGCCCTATGTTTAAGCATTTCTAAGCCCTATGTTTAGGGGGTGATTTACTCGAGACAGCATAGACCTGCCATTTCTGGAAATTCTTACATTGTGCCACCAATATCACTGATAATATTAAAAGTAATAATAATTATAACAGCAATGTGGATGTGGCAGGTAGCGATCTTATCTCTTGCACACCCTAGTTTATAGAAAATTGCACTGCTGTATTTGTGCAGCACAAATTACATTTTAAATTTTATTTATTTATTTATTTTATATTTTAAAGATGTGGGGTATAATTCAGGATTAGGTATACAAGTGGTCATTGTACAGGTAAAGTTTTGGCCTCCCTTTGGTCCCTGCTTTGCCTGGTTTGAGATCAGGTACCCCTGTTGATGTTGTGTCTCCTGCCACAACTCTACCCTAGCAATATCCCGCTACTGCCAACCCCTTTCTTGTAGTATTACGATAAATGTTCAGGGTCCGTTTATGAGTGAGAACATGTGGTACTCTGTTCTTTGTTTCTGTGGTTGATCATTGAGTATGATAGGCTCTAAACCCATCCACGATGCTGCAAAGTCCATACATTTGTCCTTTTTTATGACTGCATAATATTCCATTGTGTACATGTACCACATTTTTTTATCCAGTCCAGTTTCGATGGGCAGCATGATTGGTTCCATGCTTTTGCTACTGTGAATAGTGCTGCAACAAACACAGTGTGCAGGTATCTTTTTTGTAGAATGATTTTAGTTCCTTCGGGTATATTCCCAGTAGAGGGATTGTTGGATCACATGGAAGTTCAATGTCTATTTCTTTCAGAAATTGCCATACTGTTTTCCAAAGAGGTTGTACAAGTTTGCATTCCCACCAGCAGTGTAGAAGCATTCCTTTTTCTCTGCATCCTCACCAGCATCTGTTGGTGTTTGTTTTATTAATGATGGCCATTCTTACTGGGGTTAGGTGGTATCTCAGTGTGGTTTTGATTTGCATTTCTCTGATGATGAGTGAGGCTGAGCACTTTTTCACGTGTCTGGTTTTTTGGTTTTTTTTGAGAAGTGTCTATTCATGTCTTTTGCCCACTTTTTATTGGGGGTGTTTGCTTTTTTCCGTTTTTCCTTTTGGCGTGTTCCTTGTAGGTCCTGAATGTTAGAACTTTGTCAGATATACAGTTGGCAAGTATTTTTCCCATTCTGTGGGCTGTCTCCCTGTTCTCTTGATGGTTTCTTTGGCTTTGCAGAAGCTTTTCAGTTTGGTGAGGTCCCACTTGTCTATCTTATCTCTTATGGCATGGGCACGTGGGATTTTGATCAGGAATGGGTTGCCAGTTCCAATTTCCATAAGGGTTCCAATTTCCTGCATTTTCTAAGGTTTTTATAGTTTGGGGTTTTACGTTTAGGTCTTTGATCCATTTAGAGTTGATTTTTGTGTGATATGTAGGGGTCTTGTTTTAATCTTCTGCGTGTGGTCAGCCAGTTTTCTTAGTATTTTATTTTTGAGTTGACATCTCACTCTGTTGTCTAAGCTGAGAGTAGCAGCACAATCACGGCTCATCACAGCCTCAAACCCCTGGGCTTAAGCCACCGCGCTAATTGTTTTGATTTCTTGTAAACATGAGGTCTCGCTGTGTTGTCTAGGCTGGTCTCAGGCAATCCTCCAAGTCCTGGGATTACAGGTGTAAACCACCATGCCCGGTATCAAATTACACTTTGATTCTTAGCCTCTTTCTCTAAGGAAGAAATTCAATTTCAGTTCTCTTTGGCCTTTCCTCTAGGAAGAGCAAAGGCATCCAACTTTCATGAGGTTGTGTCAGTCAGTTCTGTGTGATAACTCCCCATAGCGTTTGTGACAGCCCCATGAGTTTGACAACTCAAAAGTTTCCAATCCACAGCCAGGTCACTGACTTCTTGTGAGGGCTCACCATCTCTTGGGGTCCTACAGAGATCACAGAAAGGGATCACTGGCCATTTGGTAGATCTCTGCCCCATCCTTTTTGAGGGAACTACCTCTCAGATCTCGCTATTTCTCAAGGCATTCTTCCTCTGCAGGATAACCAACAACCAGCAAGATGTCTTCCATGGTTTTAGGCTTTAACAAGAGACAAGCTTATTTTTGGTTGTCTCATTTTTTACATTTTAATTTTTATTTTAGGTTCAAGGGGTACGGTGCATGTTTGTTACATGGGCATATGGTATACTGGTGGTGATTGGGCTTCAGGTGACCCTGTTCCTCAGATCGTGAACATTTTACTTGTTAGGTAGCTTCTGAACCCCTCATCCTCCCTCCTGCCTCCCCACTTTAGTGCCACCAGTGTATATTGTTTCCATTTTGACCTTAGGCTGCTTCTGCTCCAAAAAAAGTATACCTTGCTACTTATTTAAAACTGGCCCTAGGGCAGAGATTAAATAGACACATAATATCTCAAAAATAATACTCATTGAGCCATTGCTGGGCACTGAGAGATCTATGCATTATCTCCAAATTTCATTCCAGTCCTGAAAGAAAAATTTGTATAAGCAAGGAAACTGAGAACCAGAGAAATTAAGAGCTGGCCCAATGACTCACAGCTGCACATGGCAGGGCCGGGACAAACTCCGGGTCTGTCTGGGAAGCCTGTGCATTGCTCCCTGCCTGAAATTAGTGACAAGCAAATTTGGGGCACTTGCTCAAATCTAGATGGACGTAGTATACTTCCTTAGGGATGGTTTAGGGAGGAATCCTGCTGGTAGATGCCCACTAAGAGATCTGTTAGGTTTTGTTCCTGAATTCTTCATGAGATTCGCTTTACATTCTAGAAAGTGATCAATACGAATGTGAACTCCTATTTCCTTCCCAAACTGTCTTACTCCAAATGTGGGGGGAAAAAAGAAAAGAAAGAGAGAAATAAAGAGAAAGAGAGAAAGAGAGAGAGAGAGACAGGGAGATAAGGAAGGAAGGAAAGAAAGGGAGAGAGAGAGAGAGAGAAAGAAAAGGCTGGCTCATGCCTATAACCCCAGCACTTTGGGAGGCTGAGGTGAGTGGATTACTTGAGGCCAGGAATTCAAGCCTAGCCTGGGCAGCATAGTAAGACCTCATCTCTACAAAAATAAAAATAAAAAATGTAGCTGGGCGTGGTTGTACATGCAGTGGTTTTAATTAGCAGTGGTGATCAAATATCAGCAGGTCAAAGCAGCTGCTGGGGAGGCCGAGGCAGAAAAATTGCCAGAGCCCTGGAGGTCGAGGCTGTGGTGAGCTGTGATCGTGCCACTACACTCCAACCTGAGCAACAGAGTGAGGCCCCCGCTAAAAAAAAGAGATGTTTACCTGGCGAGTATAAAACGTATCAGAGACTTACATCACATCACACCTGCCTTCTGACCCGTCTGTTCTTTTCCTTTGGAAACAGACATTACTTGACGATGCCACGGAGCTGTGGGGGATCCAGGTGGCCCGCGTGGAAATCAAAGATGTCCGGATCCCTGTGCAGCTGCAGAGGTCCATGGCAGCTGAGGCCGAGGCCACCAGGGAAGCCAGAGCCAGGGTAAGGGCTGTGCGGTGTACATACAAGGAAGGCCAGCCGCCTGGTGAGGAGATCTGCAAGGCTAGCGCTTGAGTGGAAGATCAGGATCTCCCAGTTTTTTTTTAAAGAAAAGGGGTTGGGGCCATGCTCAGTGGCTCATGCCTATAATCCCAGGACTTTGAGAGGCCGAGGCGAGAGGATCGCTTGAGGCCAGGAGTTTGAGACTAGCCTAGGTAACATAACAAGACCTCATCTCTACGAAAATAAAAAAATAAGCCAGGCGTGGTGGCCCAGGCCTGTAGTCCCAGCTACTCCAGAGGCTGAGGCAGATGGATGGTCTGAGTCCAGCAGGTCAAGGCTGCGGTGAGCTGTGATGGTGTCACCGCACTCCAGCCTGGGTGGCAGAGTGAGACCCTGACTCGAAAAATAATAGTAATAGTAAAAGAAACCAAAGAGACTCTTTTCACAGTTCTACTGAGAATTTTCCCCGAATTAAAAGGTAACAAGCAGCTTACTGTACTGGAGAAAGCTTGGTCACAGATCTTGGGTCAGGAGCAACTTAACAAGGTGAATTCTTACTGAACCTTGTTCCTCAGAGAGCACTTAACAGAGCAGAACAAAGCAAAGCACCAACTCCCAGACCTCACCTCTGATCCAGTGAGGTGGGCTTGGTGGGCTCAGGAATCTTTGTTTTTCAAAGCTGGTGATTTGGGTGTGGCCAGCGTGAAGCTGGTCTTTTGAGCATCATTATGCTTGTACATTAAAGGCCACTAGATTAAAAAGGCTGATCAAACACAATCCAGGTTAGTATTATAAAACCTAAGTGTACCCCGTCCCCAACTGTCCTTGAATCTGCTGGTCTGTAGCCAACATGCCCATGAGTATTAATCTCACTTGTGAGTCAACGAAGGCGCTTCTTAACTCTCATTTTTAAAATTAATGTCATTTTGTTATAGAGAGGCGGGGTACAAGTAAGGGTTAACTATACATGTAGGCTGCATGCAGGTAAAGACTGGACCTCCAGCTGGCCCTCAGTTCCCCTAGTTTAGGACCAGGTGCCCTTTGTGTTGCTATGTGCTCCGCCCCCAGGCAGTGTCCAGTGCTAATGAGACTAGTATTCACAGCCCTCTTATGAGTGAGAATACGCAGTATTCAGGTCTTTGTTTCTGTGATAGATCACTAAGTATGATGGTCTCCAACCCCGTCCGGTTTGCTGTAAAGTGCATGATTTTGTTCTTCTTTATGGCTGTGTCATACTCCATCATGTATAGGTAGCACCTTTTCTTTCTCCAGTCCACTTTTGATGGGTAGCAGGGTTGGTTCCATGTTTTTGCTATTGTGAATAGTGCAGCTGTAAACATGCATGTGTAGGTGTCTGTTTTGTAGAATAATTTATGTTCCCAGAGGTACCGCTGGATCACATGGAAGGTCGATTTTTAGTTCTTTTAGAAATGGCCACAATGCTTTCCGTAGAGGTTGAACTAGTCTGCACTCCTATCAACAGTGAGAAGCATTCCCTTTTCTCTTCACCCTAGCCGACATCTATTGTTTTTTGAATTTGCCCTCATTCTTCACACACATCTGGTTCTTCTGCCAAGTTCCAGCAGCTTCCAAGCAGGAACTCGGTGGTGACAGATGAGAGATCACGTTTGCACACAGGCCATTCTCGGGCAGATGGAGAACTAGAAAGAGAGGGAAGCACTGAGAGATTTCCAGTGAGTGTTGCAAGGCTGCCACTTGATAACCTCTTGTAATCAGGAGCTGCGGGAACTGGAAACAGTCCTCCCTTTGAGAGATGACACTCGGTGGCAACAGAAGGAGATGAAAAACATCTCCTGTGATAAAGCAAAACAACAATAAAAACACCAGTTAAAGGCCTGAAGTTTCAGACTTTCCTAAAAACAAATGCAGTGAGTAGTGGGACTCTAAAGTGCTTCAAGGCATTAGTAAGGTTTTCATTTGCATTAAAGATAGCACTTTTATTTTTGTTTGGAAACGAAATCCAGGGATGTGTAATTTGAGAGATATTTTTCACTCTCCTACCTCCTGCAACCTCCTTGAGGTGCTTTAATCCCACTAGGATGTGAATCTCTTATCCTTAGTAAAGAAGTAAGTGGATGAAACATGTGGCAACTTGGGAGCTTGGGAGAGAAGTGTCAATCAGGACCCAGAAAAAGAAGGCTCGGGTCACAGTGGCGCACTGTATTTCTGCACTCTTTAATTTGTGTCTTTCCAGGTTCTTGCAGCAGAAGGAGAGATGAATGCTTCCAAATCTCTGAAGTCAGCCTCCCTGGTGCTGGCTGAGTCCCCCATAGCCCTTCAGTTGCGCTACCTGCAGACCCTGACCACTATAGCCACCGAGAAGAATTCCACCATTGTCTTTCCTCTGCCCATGAATATACTGGAGGGCATTGGTGGTGTCAGTTGTGATACAAGAAGCTTCCTGTTTAATAGAGGTCCTCTTGAGGTAGATAGCCATTGGGTTAGAGAACCAGGACTATGCCTAGGGAGAAGCCAGCAGTTGGAAGTGGTAAGAATTCCAACACTATTTCAAAAGAAAACAGAAGTAGAAACAAGGGCAGTAGACTATGACCATCTTTAAGGACATAATCAACTTTGCAATATTCTGATAAAATTAGTGGCCTCTGACTTTACAGCAGGAACTTTTTTGTAGTAGGAGAGGACATCATTGGATGACTGTGACTAAGATTTCAGAATTACTTTTCAGTTGTTTTAAGGAGCACTCTAGGTAAGTCGTAGAGAAACACAGACCTCATTATAAATACTACATATTTGCTCTATAATTCCCAGTTACTTGCTAAATCTCCAATAGTTGCACCCACCTCCACAATACTGAAAATTATGACCGATTTTCATGTTAAGGACAAAGAGATAATGGAAGCTTCCAGCCTCAGACATGTCCTCAACCCCCCAGGGCAAACTGCCCTCAGCTCACAGCCCAGCTTTCTTGCTGCAGGTCCTGCTGGGAGTGTTGGCCAATTCTCAGCCTCCCCATGCCTTTGTCAGAAGGAGGGTGGGACAAGGCACAGAAAAGCGGCCAGCTCCACTCCATTTATTTGCTTACAAGGGAGAATGCTTCTATGGATTTCGTTGGTTGAAACCATTGGGAAGCATACTCCTGGGGATTTCATGTTTTCACTCTGTGTTAGTCCAAGAGCCACAAGCAATTGAGACTAGTTTGTGAACTCTGTCTCCATCCCCCTGAGACTCCACCCCCACCCCCCCACCCCCGCCGAATTGCCTGCTAAATAAAGAAGTCATAGAATGTGAATGTATTTTTAAAACTGCTTTGTTAAAAGCTATTTTGTCGCTGCGGTGCAATTTCCTTTTGAGATCAGTTTTGGGCTAGAATTGTTTTAAGTCACTGCTTATTGACTGTCTCCCCATGGTGCCCCATGCTCAGCCCTCGATGAATGCCTCATTTGATGGATGAGAAAGTGATGCCAAAAGGGTAGGTAACGAAATCAAGATACCTCAGAAGGTGAGTGCTGGGTTAGGATTTAAAACCAGGCCTGACTGCAAAGTCCTTGTTCCTACCCATCATCAAATTTTACCTGGGAGGAGAGAAGGGATGAAAGGGATAGAACCCTCTTGATCCTGTTTTCCCTTCCACACCACACTTCTGGGCTTTGGAAGTCCAGGCACCATGGGAGTGTCCAGGACTACACACATGTACACACACATCTGTGTATGTGAACACACATCCCCACATGCTTCACGCTCCACAGACACTCCCCATGTGTCCTCCGCATCCTTACATCCTCCCCATCCCACCTCTGCTTCAGTCACCTGTCCTCATCACACACAACCTGTCAACACATGGACCTCAGCTACATGCAAGTGCAGAATGGGAATCCTGTGTTATATGTGGTTCTATAACCTGTTTTTTCCCCCCATATAAAATCATATAATTTGGGGGCAATTCACAACCTATATATCTTGTAGTAGATTCCACTGATTTGATGACTCCAGCACTCATTTTTAACCCACTGAGTATGCATTGAGGTTCTTTTTTTTTTTTAAGTTGGGATCTCTCTCTGTTGCCCAGGCTGGAGTGCAGTGGCACAATTACAGTTCACTGCAGCCTCAACCTCTTGGATTCAGGTCATCTTTCCTCCTCAGCCTCCTGAGTAGCTGGAACTATAGGCATGTGCCACCACACCTGGCTAATTTTTTTTTTCATTTTTTTGTAGAGATGCGGTCTCGCTATGTTACTCAGGCTGGTCTTGAACTTCTGGATCCAAGCAATCCTTCCACCTCAGCCTCGCAAAGGGTCCAAAGAGGCATATACATGCGTGACACTTTGAATTCTTTGAGCCAGTTGTTACATTTTGTTAGCCAGTTATTGAGTTAAATAAGTTTTTGGCATCTATTATACTTTTGTAAGAAAGTCATCATTTTACCTTTTAGGAGGAGTCATCCTCTGACAAGTTTAAACCTCTAGAGTGTAGATGCCCTGGAAGGCAGTACAGCCAGAGAAGGCCCCAGGCAGGGACACGCAAATCCTTTGGCATTTATGGGCAAGACCTGCAAGTGATCTTTTGGGTGTGCCAAGGGTTATGAGTAGCACCTAACCATGTCTGCTGCAGCGTTTCAGCAAATCCATCTCCCCAGGTCTGAACTCATAGCTGCTTTGCGCCTCCTCTCAAGGATGTCTTTTCAGTAAAGGCACCTTGGATCATGGAATAAGATGATGGTTTTTCAGATGTCTTTCTTAACCACACCCATTTACCTTATCAAAAGGAGCAAACCTCTTAAGATAGAAGAAGGTAAGGGCCATATAAACTCTGCTCTGCCCCCCTAGCACCCTGAACAGAGTCTGGTGCATAGTGGATGCCACTAAGTATTCTTCCTGACACCATGGCATGGGATGATCTCTTCCAAAGTCAAATGAAAAATTTGACTTTATTTTTAAAAAAAGAAAGGAGAACTCTTCAAAACTGGCGAGTGATATGAAATAGTACATTCAAAGCCTCGTGCTAGGGTGCCTTCTGGGGTTATTAAAATTAAAACCAGATGCATTCAGTGAAGATAACAGTAATAAAATCTCACTTTTCATAGATTTTCTCTGTCACACAGTCTTCTGGCAGTAGACTTACAGGCCACTGAATATTCTTTGAAAATCTGGTGGGTGTCATGTCAGGCACTAGATTATTAACATAGACAGTGAGGTTCATGGTCATCACTGATGGAAAGGAAAGAGGCTGGCAGACCCCTTCTCTGGGTTTTCCATGGCTTCTACATGGTATCTCCTAATCACACAAGAGCAGAACAGTTCTGAATGAATTGCCTGGACTCCCTAGAAAGCTCCAGTTCACCCCTAGTCTGCTCCAACCACTTTGTGTACATTAAAACAGGTGTGTGCCCTGTGTATAGAAAAGTAGGTCCTCTGTGGAGGTGAAGACCGCAGGCTCATGACTTGGTGTTTTTAAATACAGGTTTTATTATTATCCAGGTAAGGCAATGCCCACAGATCAAAAGATAATTGCCATTAAAACATGGCACGTTAAAGAAGAACCAGATCATGTCCTTCTCAGCCACATGGGTGCGGCTGGGGCCATCATTCTAGGTGACTGTCACAGAAGCGAGAAACTGAACAGCACATGCTCTCGCTCGTAAATAGGCACTAAGCCCTGGGCACAAGGATGGAACAACAGAGATTGGGCACTGCTAAAGGGGGAAGAGGGAGGAGGGATAAGGGACACAAAACCACCCATTGGGTACAATGCTCACTATGGGGAAGGGGTAGGTGCGGGCTTGCCAGAAGCCTAAACCTCACCTTTATACAATATACCCATGAAACAAATCTTTACATGTACCCCACGGCTGTAAAAGAAAGAAAACATGTCATGTTGTGCTCTCAGATGCCAAGAGGAGGAAGCACGCCACACCATGGAAGGCCCAAGCAGAAGCACCAGGGCTGGCCAGGAGGCAAAGGGAGCAAACTTGCCTAGAGCAAAGCTCCAGTGTGGTGTCTCTGGGAAGCAGTGGCAAGGCAGGGCAAGCAGCCTCAGGGGCGGCTGTCCCCAGCTGTCTGTTGTCTGGGTGATTGGAGCACGGATCGGGTCTCTGGAGTGGTCAGTCTGCATGTGAAAGGCATACCCTTGGGCTTGGCATTTGCCTCTCTAGGAGCTGATTAGCCTAGTCTAGTCAGCAAGGCCTAAGGGTTAAAGAGTCAGAAACAGAGTAATACACTTTGCAAATGGAAGAGGACTTTTCACTTGGAGTGCATACCTAGTTAAGCACACACGATCCATATAAAGCCAGCGTGTTACGTGAGAACTTGAGTTTCTCTGGCTCTCAGTAGCAAGCTGTGTGTTCATGCCGGAACCGCCTCTGGTGAGAGATGAAAACAATTTTTATGAATCCACATTATGCTTACAGAGCTTGATAAAAAGCAGCCACGCGGGCTCTTGGTGTGTCTGCAACTCCCAAACTAGATATCTGCAGCGTGCCCACGGCACAGGAGTGGCCAGAACCAACAAGTCGACGGTGTCAGCTGGTGGGAGGGGGGAAGCCACAGGGGTCAGCAGCCACCTGCAACAGCTAATCTTACTACTCGTTGACAAAGGCTTATTGATTTGTGCACTTATTTTTTATTTGTTTGATGAACAATTTTACCAGTACCTGCAATACACCATGTACAATACGCCATGTAAATATTAGGATACATTGGTGGTTAAGCCAGGTGCTCACTGCCCTTATGAGCTTACAGCGTGGAGAAGAAACAAAATTAAGTCAGAATTACACAAAGATTAATTGAAAGGACAGACCGAGAGTCGAAAGCCATTTTTCATCTTGTTCTTAAACCCCGACACAATGATGAGAAAGTAGAAGCTATGCTTTTGGAGAAATGCACGCTTTAGGTAAAATTAACTTTGCCAACTTTGTCTTTTCAGAAAAAGACTTCCTGGTGCCAGGTATCAGAGGTATCTCATAGTGGCAATCAAGCTTGCCTAGAGCAAAGGGAATTTACAAGACCTAAGACATCATGCATCAGGCAAGGATTGTAAAAGTCATGAAACTAGTAATTATAAAAGTTACCACAGCTCAAAGGGAGAGCAGGTGGGGATTCGATCTTCTAGTAAATTGGGCACTATCTATAAGAAAGCCAAGGATACCCTGAAGCTACCCACTGGGAATGCCTAGGAGATAAGGGGAAATGCACCCTCCATTAGCTCCAAGGAATGTCATTTGGGAAGGTGCAGGAGCACTGGGATCCTTGTCACACCCTTCTCTAGGGGCTATGATGATGTGGGCGGGCATTAATGGGTCCCTGTGTCACAGGTTCTCCAAGACATCCACAGGTGGTTGATAAGGAAGTCATGGCAGTCATGTCTACCTGATTGCAACATCTCCAAGGAAAAAGATTTAAGCCAGGGTTTTGGGGGCTATGACGCCATACTCACCTAGAGTGTAGGCCCACTCCCTGTCTGTGGGGGGTGAAGTTTTCTTAAATAAATCTTATCTTCTTTCACCTCTGTGTGTTGCAATTCTTTGCATTTACTTGGATCTCTGGGTTGCCAGCACGCACTTCTGGTATGCAGGCTCCAGCAGTGCTGCGCCCCTCTCCCTGTACCTCTCCCTCTCCATCCATCCACCCTCTCCCTGTCCAGTCCCTAACACTTATCCCATTGTATTAAATTACCATT